CACACACACACACACACACACACACACACACACACACACACACACACACACACACACACACACACACATACACACATAATTACACACACACGCATCTTCTCACACACGTACAATCACTTCTATGCACAGAACTAGTCATCATGCCGTGTCTTTTTTGCCGTAGGTCTCCCCGAACGTCGGAGCACAACATTGTCTGTTGTGTTCACTTTCTTTGACTTCTCATTGCAGATAACATCCTCCTTTTCCAATGTCACATGGTGGTGTTGCTCTTGTTCTTTCTCATTTTGTCGGCCCTCCCCGTCCTCACCACGCCCTGATTGCTCACCTAATTGTGTCCCGATGTCAATGACATCATCGTCATCCTCTCTCTTGCGCTTGGGCTGTTGATGCTTGTCGCCAATCGTCATGGTTCGTTGAAGTTCGTCATCGTCTCTTCCCATTGAGGCCACAACGTTCTCTTTCCTCTGCACACCACCTGGCCCACCCTCGAGAACATAGCCTTCAGAAAGCAGTCGAAGCATCAAATCAGGTGTGTTCTCTAACAAATTTTTTTTCCCCTTCAATTGTGGCACCACTCTTCTCTCGTCAACTCAGCACCTTGCATGGACATTGGTTCCGTGTCCATTTGCGGTTCCGACCTCGTGCAAACCCTGGGAGATCCCATTGTTGCAAAGTGATCCGCTGACTCTTGGGATTCTTCCCGTTGCGACGGGGGATGTAACGATTGATGTTCGGCCTGCACTTTATCTCTTCTTGACTCCTCGTTGTCGCCCACAGATTTTTCCATACCATTCTTCTCATCAACTTGCTCGTCACTATGAACGGAGGTCGTGAATGGACGTCCCGCTGTACTCGTCGAAGCGTGGCCACCGTCGTGTTCCAATTGCTGACTGTTGCCAAGACGTATCTCACCTTCAAACTCTTGCACCACTTCTCGACTTGGCAATTTCCAAGGGATCTGACCGTGGGACACACTGGATTCAATGTCATAAAAGTTTGCGTTGTACTCCAGCATGTTCTGATCTCGCAACTTGTCATAAAGTGTGTCAGCATATGCTCCTTGTGCAAGGCTGCCTGATCCACCGTTCGCCTGCCGCACTTTGATATGAACCTGTTCCTTTGCGATTTTGAAAAACCTGCTCTTCAATACCCGCTTTCGCAATTGCCACTGGCCTTCGATGCACATAGCCATGTGCCATTTCCCGCTCCATACGCAGGGCTCGAAGACCTTCGGGTGCCACAATATATAATGCCCCCATTGGTGGTCTTCTGTCTCAACCACTGTCCCGATGTGGTGCAGGAAGTGCGGGCCTCCGATGAACTCCTTCATGTCCTCTCGTATTGTGTCTCCTGGCATCAGTTTATCATCCTCGTCGGGCGGGAGTGCGAATTTGATGGCGTTGACGTCCATTCCACCAACCTGTGCATTTTCCTCCTGGGGCACGTTATATTGGTTCTCTCTTGGGATCTTTAACATACCCATGCTCACATACACGTTGTCTAGCTGAGTCAAAAACCCGGGGTATTTGGCACTGCTTTCCTTGTCTTTGGATTTGAGATGTGGCTCTTTTCCAATTAACGAGGCCGGTTGTGCCTGAAACCCTTCATTGTTGCGGTTCTTGCTTGCATTGCCTGCACCAACTGGCCCCCGGATCTCATTCCCTGCACTCTCTTGCATTCCTTGTTCACACGACCTCTGCTCCCCACCACGAATGCTCTCCCGGTTTGCCACGACATCTGTTTGTATCCCCTCCATTGCCTGACGACCCTCGCCACCGTCCAATGCCTGTTGAACATCGTCTTGAGCACCCGGTACAGGCATATACATATTGTCGTCTGATGTCTCCTCCTCGCTGGTGAGCACATCGAAGTGCTCACCCGCATCCAACTCATCGGCGTATGTCTTCGCACGCAGTCTGTCTTCTTGTTTGTTGAACCACAAACGCTCATACCGCGCTATGAATATTTCAATCGCACCATTTTTCGCCTTATGGTAGTCTTGGAGATGTTGGATGGCAATCACTTTTTGGTGCATATAACCGATGTCCTTTGGAGTCTTCGGGGCGTTGCCGAACAAGTATTTCCACAGAGAGTCCCTCTTGTTGCCAAGCTTCAGGTACATGTTTCTCTCTGGAAGCCACGGAGTTTTGGGCCGTTCGAAGTGGCAATGACTTTCTGGCCTGTGGACCTGTATATCGAGGAATGTGGACGTCCAATTGAGCATTGTTGAATTGCTGTCACACGGAACAACATTGTGTCCTGACTGCAACACTTCCCTGCCTGACCCTGCCTGCACATTCCCGAGCAGCAGCACACCTTCGCCATCCTTTGCAAACCATTTGCACAACTCCTTCATTTTTTTGGGCTCTCTCTCCCAGTGCCCGTACACGGCTTTTGTATCGCCTGATATCCCAACATGCTCGTTCGTGCATTGCACAAATAAGTCCTCCTTCACGTTATCGTCGAACCACGTGACATGGTTTCGTGGCTGCACAGTCACCTTCTTGTAGTCATTGTTCGACGCATGCATGACAACGGTCATGCAGTCCCGAGGTCGCAGTGGAAGATTTCCAGCGGGAACGACATATTGGTCCTTCCCAAAATGTCTCTCCCACCGACCTGGAATCACTTTGACGTGATCCCAACGAAGCACGTTCTTCAATACAGTTTGCTCGACTCTTAACGTCGAGAATATGACAATGACCCAATCCGTGTCACAGAAGGTGTTCATCATCTCTGGCAGCACTGCGAATCTCTCATCTGACCACTCGTGCGGGGTTGTCGACTTGCGCGGGCACAAGTCCAGGACTGCGAGGCGGCAATTGAGCTTCTTAACATCTTGTGTGATCTCCTCTGATGGTTGCAGCGCCTCGTACGGTGCCAAGCATATTGGAAAAAATGTAGTGTGATCGTTGTTTGTATCCCACATCACGTGCCGCACATTTGCACTTATGCGTCTCAACTCGTCCCGTAGGTGGTCGATAGGCCTGATGATTTCATACATGAACACTTTCAGATAATACGGGCACTCCGCATATAGTGTCCGCGTCAACTTGAGTCTTCCCACCTTGCCCACCTTTGGTTCGTCAATGCCGCCTAGACGTTTTGGCACATTTTTCGCCTTATGAGCTGGCACCTTCGTCTTGTTTTCCTCCCATTGTTCCTTGGTGAGTCCCGCCGGGGCAAATCTGTCCATTATACACAAGTAGCCAATGAAAAACTCATCGTTCCACTCGTCCTGCTTGCGACCTTCCGTTTTGAAAACCACATAGTTGAAGAGGCGTATCATGTATCTCTCACGCCGAACCTCAACCCGAATGTCGTCCATGTTCAACAAGTTATTGTTGAACGTCCGCCCCGTTGTGACAACCACCTGGCGGTCGTCCAATATCATGTCCAGCACCATTTCCTTTTCCCTTGCATTCAAGTCTCCGAACACCTTCCACGCGCTTTGAGGAGGGTCTCGAATGCAGACGTAGTGCCCGTGAGGCGATTTGTTGGACTGGACGTAGTGCACCAACTCCTTCTTGCCTTTTATTGACAACGCGAATGAACCCGGACCAGCTATGGCGACTTATTTCCCTTGCTGATCCACCGGAGGCACTCCAGTCTTATCAGGCAAGAGACCCGCCTCCCACGAGTAAAAGAATCGGGTGAGAAGGTCCCACACTCTGTTGCCAACCGTTGCCAACGTAAGATGCGATCTCACTAAATTCGACCAATTCGTGTTGTAGGCCGACTTCAGTGTTTGTCCTCGCAGTTTGGAGTCCGCAGTCAGGCGGACAGCTCTGCGGATGAATTTCTGATAGTTATCTCTCAAGGCGTCCTTATCCGCTTCTGGCGGTGCGTGTTGCCAATCGCCAGAAGGCATCCCCATGTCAACCCACAAGTCTTTGATATTTTTTACCGACACACGGAAGGAATCCGGGATAGCTCGTGTCTCCCTTGTGTTATCGAAAGTCGAAATGTGAGCATATCCATCGAGATTGTTATCGTCGAAATACACAACACATGCACGCCATGAACGCACACCCCACTTCTGCGCAGCCGGTGAATTGGCCGCATCTAGTCGCCGACAAGCCTCCGTCGTGTGTTATCCACCCACCGCGCACCAATGGTAGGTGTGTGTCTCATCCTCGTCGAAATGTTCAGGTTTCACACGCACCTACTGTTTTTGGCCATGAACATCCACTTTCGTCACCGGGGCCAATATCCATGTGGCCCTGTCCCACTCTCCCTTCTTCTCTGGCGGTTTCATTGCTCTCATGATGGAAACGACGAGCATGTCATTCAATTGTCTGACATTGTACTGCACAGGGCCTCCCACGGGGTTTGGCAAAATCTTCATGCAGTCTACGTAGATCTCTTGAGGTCGTTGCACTGCATTCTCGTCACTGTCGTACTCCAGGAAGAAACAAGTTGTTGTGTCAAAGGCGGCCGACTCCACCTTCCCGACTCTCGCGGTGTGGTCTCTCGGGTGAACCCCAACTCCCTCGTTGCCGGAATTTGCAACCTCCTTCGTTCCTTCGACTCTGACTTTCTTCTTTGCATTTTTCGCGGGCCGCTCACGCCTCTCTTTCTCGGGTTTTTTCGATTGTCTTTCTAAATGTTGCACGTATGCGGTATAAGACGCACCCAAACCAAGTATCTCCGTCCGACGTTGCTCACTGTTCATTTTTTGTTTGTGCGAGTTCGCTGATGCTTGTGTGCCGGCCACTTCGATGTCCCGGTTTGTTTCCCCACCGCTTTCTCCCTCTTCGCTCTCCTCATCTCTGCCTTTGTTCTTGCGTTCGTGTGCAGTTGTTTCTTCTGCATCTCCCTCGTTCTCCTCCTCCTCGTCGTTCTCCCCTTCGTCTTCACCCCCCTCGTCCTCTTGCGCTGTCGTCCCCATCATCCTCGCCGCTCTCCCGCTCATCACCGTCGTCCTCCGTGGTGTCGCCCCGCGTACTTCCTTCCTCGGCGCCCTATTGAGTCGACTTCCCCTCACGTTCGTCATCCCCGTCATCCCCATCGGGACAGTGGCTGGAGGACGGCACCCTACAGGTGTCACATACAACATTCTCTTCGTCCTTGTCACGCGATGAAGCCTTTTTGCGACGCTGCGTCCCACGAGAAGAGACTGACGACGCCTTGGCGGCCTTCGACGTTTTTTCCCTCGTGTTCCCCGGTTTGGAAAACCCATCCTGAGCAGAAGGCGTTTCGGTTGTCACGACGAGTGCCTTTTTGGTTGATGCGGTGTTCTTCGCCCTTGCCGAAAGCATTCCACCTTTAGTTCCAACGCTGAGAGCAGATCGCAGCGTACCTTGCTTAGACTCCCCGTGTTTGTGTGTCCTCAAAATGTCCTCCAACACCTCCCTCGAACTGTGCGCACCCACGAACGGTGGCGACAAACGCACGTTGCTGTCCACCTTGACCTTAAAGCCCGTAACTCTATAGCACGGCGTTTTCCTGAGGAACTCGATCGGTCCCACCATCTCGACAGCCTTCAGTTTCTTCGACCTATCAAACGGAGGCAATGCCACAGCGTTCATGCCGTAGCCAACAAATCTCGACAAATGCAGCGACACTTTCTTGTAATTCCCCGACAATTCGACTCCTCCACTATCGAAGCATGTGGTCAAGTGAAAATCGTAGTACCCCTCTTCACCGGCAAATTTGTCGACGCCATAACTTTCGATCCCGCCGCACAGGTAAAAATGTCCGCCATCATCGTTCAGGAATATCACGGGACCACACCCTTGTTGTTTAACCCCGCCGAACCAGTCAAGCGCCCATTCCATCCCACGGAACAATGTCGCTCTGCCAACCACCTTGGGGGTGGACGTCTGCGACGAAGAAGGAACCCCATCTACATGCCCACAGAAAAAAGAATATGTGATCAGCACAAGTGAGGCAAAGGCAAGAGATGCACGAGGCCATTGGTCATCGAGCGCCGACGCGACACCCGATGGTGTCGAGCAAGAAACCATCGACACGGGAGCGATGGCACAATGGAACCATGTAGCCAAGCAAAGAGCAGATAACACATTTGTTCCAATTGCAAACCACGCTGAAGTCCAAGTAGTCAAGCAAAGAGCAGATAGCACAGTGGAACCAAGAAACCATCCATATGCAAACGAAGTGCAGAAATCCGAAGTGCAATTCACGCTGAAGTCCAAGTAGATATCGCATTGGGCCCAATTGCAAATCACACTGAAGTGCAAGTGGTCAAGCAAAGAGCAGATAGCAAAGCGGAACAAAGAAACCATTCACATGTGGACGAAGTGCAAAAATCCATAAACGGCACCACATCGGGACCCAGTGTTGGGGCAAAGAGCAGATACCGCATTGGTCCCAATTGCAAATCACGTTGAAGTCCAAGTGGTCAAGCGAAGAGCAGATAGCACAGCGGAACCAAGAAGCCATTCGTATATGGACGAAGTGCAGAAATCCATATTGCATATCACGCTGAAGTCCAAGTGCCCATGCAAAGATCAGATGGCACAGTGGAACTAAGGAACCATCCGCATTGGCCCGACCCTCGTGCGGCGAGGCGACGACTGATGGGGCGACCATCGGGTGTCGCGGCGACACCCAATGGTGTCAAACAAGAAACCCTCCGTACGAAAACGGTAGCACATCTAGACCCCGTGCACGGGCAAAGAGCAGACAGCGCATCAGTTCCAATTGCAAATCACGCTGAAGTCCAAGTGGCCAAGCAAAAAGCAGATAGCACAGTGGAACCACCATCGAGTGTAGAATGCCCCGGTGGTGTAGAAGGGCCGACCATCGGGTGGTTCCAATTGCTAATCACGCAGAAGTCCAAGAGGTCAAGCAAAGAGAAGATAGCACAGCGAGACATGTGGTGGGCTGGGCAGAAATAAAAATTGCATATCACGCTGAAGTCCAAGTGCCCATGCAAAGAGGAGATGGCACATTGGAACCAAGGAACCATCCGCATTGGCCCGACCCTCGGGCGGCGAGGCGACGCCCGACCATCGGGTGTCGCGTCGGGGGATGCGAGGGAAGGGGGAGATTCTCCATCTCGCACTTTCCTCCCGCCAGTCATGTCCAAGGGGGATTCAACATTCATGCGGCGCAAACAGCTCCTCTGAAGACAGATAAAAAATCCAACACTTCTTATGGTACGATGGTATGATGGCGGGATGGTCTGACACAATGTACTGTTGTGTGGAAAAACCCGGGGAGGGGCTACCTACCGTTCGCTGAAGCCATGGGCTACGGCGCCTGTCACTTCGCCGCGCCCGCTTCCGAGGTCCTCGGCGACCAGTAGGGATGATATCCACAAGTTTACAGAAATTGGTTTTAGGAAATAAACAGCGGGATGATATCCACAAGTTTACAGAAATTGGTTTTAGGAAATAAACAGCAATAGTAAATAAATAAAAGAATAGCAAAGTCAAAACTAGAATCCTCTCTCAATCTGTCTCTCACTGTGTGTGTGTGTGTGTGTGTGTGTGCGTGCGTGTCTGCTTGTGTATGTGTTATGTGTGGGCGCACTTCTACCACTGCGCTGCCTTGCTTTAGAGTTCGGAACTTCCAACTTCCTCAAAAGACCGCTGTATCACTGTCCCCTTCTCCTTGCGTGAACCTGCTCTCTCTCT